ATCGAGTTGCAGCAAAATTTGTTCCTCGTTCGATGATCGAGCAACAGAAAGAAAATCCTGAACATCGGCAACTCCTTCATTCAAAGGAACTTAACGGGAGACAAAAGCTGGATTCACGGCTACGACATTGAGACAAAAGTTGAATCATCGTAATGGATTGGCAAAGGACCTCCACGCACCAAGAAAGCACGTCAGTCTCGATCCCATGTCAAAGTGATGTCCACTGTTTTTTTCGACTTTAATGGAATTGTGCATTTTGAATTCTTGCCTCAAGGTGAAACGGTGAACCGTGTGTATTATCAAGGCTTTTTACAATTGTTACGTGAAAAAATCGGCAAAAAGAGACCAGTGTTATGGCTAGATAACTCATGGTTCTCACAACATGATTCTTACACCATGACAATGCACTAGCAGACTCAGCTTCAAATTTCGGATTTTTATTTTATCTCTGGAGTTGAATAAATAAAGAACTATAATTATATGATGAATTCAAAGTGTCATATTTTACAAGAATGATTGAAAATTATATCAGATCTATTAAGAAAAATCCGATGATGATCACATGCAAATTGGTGAACGTAAAAGAAGGGGTCACATGAAAAAGTTAATTTTAATAACGCAAAATTGCCATATCCGAGGTATATTCAAGAAATGTTATAGCTTCTAAAATAGCAAATTATCTTCCTCTTTCTTACTCCTCCATTTCTTCCATCTTTTCTTCCACTTTGTTTAATTGATAAGGATAGAAAATCGAATATCATTTGTAGGGAACCAGTAAAGTGTTGGTGTTTGGTTTGCATATCACGAATATGCGAATAAAGTTCTTGAGGCAGATTACATATTAGAGATGCCAAGCAAGTCTTGATATTTACTAGGTAAGTCAAGCCTAGAGAGTTTATAATACATATAGTCTTGTTTGAGACTAAAATAATCATGCTTTGACCACTTCAAGCGTAGCACCAGTTTCTTATAAACCCTTGGCCAAAATAATATGTAATAACGAATTCCGATAGGAACGTACGTTGAAGATTTGCCTGTAGACAATTTACTGAAGTTTATCTACGATGTACATCCGCATTTTAACCTTGAGGTTCCTGCTTATTACATGGCGAATGTCTACGAAGTTGGACGGACCTCGACATTTCTTGACCTCCAGGAAGTTCGGATCTCACATTTTCTGTCAATCAATCAATGGTGAGCAAGAGCTAGTGCAAGCATCGACAATGCCACAAACATAATTCATGAGCAAAGGGACAAATTGGATAACGTACATGAATATTTTAATCGTCGATTAGAACTATGTTTCTAACATAAACGGACAAGCTTTTGGATATTTTTATAAAGAATGCTTGTTTCGCATGACCTTAAGCAAATGATCTCCACGGGTGACAGTTCTGGAGGAGTCCCTCAAGTGAAGACATCTACTCATTTTATTTTTTGCCATATCCAAAACGTCGATCCCGTCTTTCTAAATATATTTCTTTACATTTTAATTTATTTTTTTGTTAAAAATGCATTTTTACATATGAATGCAATTTAAAACTGTTCTGGGTAAGCTTAAATGCGAATAATTCTTAATGCCCAATTAAATGTTCACGTAGTTTCATGGTATTTTAATTAGAAATAAATCACAGCTGACCACTACAACGGTTCACAATTGTTCACATTTTTCCGTTGTTGGTATCTGCTTCATCAGGTGTATTTAACGTAATATTTACCGTTATGTAGTTTCCACTGATGTAAGATGTCCACTGGATGTATTAGCCATTCTGTTTTAATGGATGTATTAGCCATTCTGTTTTAATGACGAACGTACTTTTTTAAAGACATACTACGCCTACTGAAAATCAGATTCGAGGAACATTTATTTTATTTCATCGCAATATTTGAGGCCTTGCATATCAATAAGGAAACATTTGAGGACCCATGTTGATACAAACTTTTCATTTCATTCAATAAGAAGAGATTTTATCTTTTTTAAGAACTGTATGAAATACTACTGCGAATCTTCGGGACACTTTTATGAAAAATAAACCTGACAAATCTTGATATACTTTCCAGCCTTTTGATAAAGTTAATGCTACAGAAACAGTTGCGATAAATAAAGGTATATAAGAGATAAAGACGTTGTTATTTCGTTTTTATAAAAAATAAATGTTTAGCCGATTGGTAGTTGAACTACATATTGAAGACAAAAGAATTCATTTCTAGTTGTTCAAAAATTAAAGTTGAAAGCTTCAACTGACCCCAAGTCCTGAACTTTTGTTAATCGCTGAAGTATTTATGAATAGTAAAGATTAAATAGTATTAGATAAAGATCATCTTTCCATGGATTTTTACTTAATTATACAAGGTGTCCTGGAAAATGTGGAAAACCTCTCCGGGGCAAATAGAACATGAAAAAATAAGATGACAGGTTCCTATAAAATTTTTTCGTACAGCCCCTTCCTACGGAGATGTGTCTCTGAAGGACGCCACTGGAAATCGGTTTTTCTTGAACAACTTTTAAAGTACTTAATATAATTTAATAAAAATTGTATGTGATGAACACTAAGAAGGACCTCTTAAAACGTATTTAGCTTTTTTACTTAACAAGGACAGGCTAAGCTTTACAACTTAATGCGTAAATTTTTAACACCCTGTATGATAAAGAATTTAAAATAATAAATCTGGGTAGATTCAACCTTAGACTAAAAAAAGGTACTCTTGTTTATTGTCGATAAAATTAACCGTTTACGAGAAAAAGAATAATAAACGAATTCGTGTTTTATTTTTAATAAAAAGGGCCATGATTTATATATTTTTTTCTCAACAACAAAGTGACATCGCTGACACACTGGTCCTTTACTTCGTTATTGATTTATCGATTTTTGGATTTCGTGGTGAATTTAGTTGTGAATTTTATTTGAAATATGGAATACACGTTTATTGAGTGTGCAAATATGATTTTGCGTCTTGCAATGCTTTATAAGCCAGAAGGTTATATCACAACATATTTCCTAATCATACTCTGTCAAACCAGAGGACATTTCAACAAGTTGACCAACGTTTAATGGTGGGCGATTCCTGTTGATAAGGTAATACATATTATTGAATTTCTTCATACTTTACGTACACCGCAATTAGAGGAAAATATGTCAATTGCTGTAGAAGACACCCCATCAACGAGCACTAGAAAATTATCAGCAGAGTTTAATACAACGAAAACAATAGTATATGAAGTTCTTCAAGAACAGCTGTTATATCCATACCATCTGTAAAAAATACACGAAGTCATTCCTGAAGATTTTCCTCATAGAATGCAGTTTGTAAACTGGCTATTGGATTAGCAACGAAATAATGTAAACTTCATTAGCACTATTCTTTTCACGGATGAAGCAAGGTTTACCAAAAATGGTATCACCAATTTCACAACACATCGTATGGGCTGATGAAAATCCTCATGCCGCTATTGTTTCGCATCATCAACATCAGTTCCAATCAATTAAAATTGGCGCAGGAATCAATGGCAATTTTTTATTGGACCATTCGTATTGCCGGAACGATTGAATGGACAACTTTATTTGGAGTTCCTTCAGAACGCTATTCAAGATTTAATAAAACACTTAAAAATTGAAACACGCCGAAACATGTACTTCATGCACAAGGGACCTCATCTCAGCGTTGGTGTGCGGGAGCACCTGAATAACGTCTATCCAAACCGTTGGATAGGATCTCCCGACCTAACGCCTCCGAATTTTTACCTGTGGGGACACCTCAAACAATTGGTGTATTCCACTCCGGTTGACAATAGGCAGGAACTTCTACAGAGAATCACGTTTCATTGTGATGTGATAAGGAACAATGCTGGGTTATTGTGGTGGGTACAGTAGTCCTCAATTCGTCGTGCCCGCGAGTGTATCAGACTTCACTGAGCCCAAGTTGAACCCTCTTATGAAGTTTTTCAATAATTTTTTGTTAAGGTGCCTCCTGGGACACCACTGCGTTTTTTAATTTTGTACTTTTTCAGATTAAACATCTTAAAATGAAACTTTCCTGTTGTTTGAATGACTTTCGTATCACACTTTGTTGTCGAGAAAAAAAATATAGAAATCATGGCCCTTTTTATTAAAAATAAAACATGAATTCGTTTATTATTCTTTTTTCTCGTAAACGGCTCATTTTATGGATAATGAACAAGAGTACCTTTTTTAGTCTAAGGTTGAAGCTACCCAGATTTATTATTTTAAAGTCTTATCATACAGGGTGTTAAAAATGTAGGCATTAAGTTGTAAAGTTTAGTCCACCCTTGGTAAACTGAAAAAGCTAAATATGTTTCTAGGACACTATTTTAAGAGGTCTTCACTAGTGTTCATCACATACAATTTTTATTAAATTGTATTAAGTACTTTAAAAGTTATTCAAGAAAAACCGAGCGGCGTCCTACAGGGACACATATTTCCGTAGGGAGGGCCTGTATGAAAAAATTTTATAGGAACTTGTCATATGATTATTTCATGTTCTATCTGAACCCGAGAGATTTCCCACATTTTCCCGGATATCCTGTATATTGTTGTATTGAAGGAATAAAAATTTCATTCATTAAATTTTCTATTAATGATCTAACTCAATTGATATGGTAAGAGACTGATACAACTCGTAGCCAGTTTTTCTTTCAAAAGATATTGATGGAGTTCGCCATAGATTAACTTCTGTGACCTCCTTTTAATCACTATCTGTGTAACCTTATAGATGCATGCACTAAAACTGTAGCAATTCTGTTGGGTTCTTGAGAATTTAATCTTGATTTCTAAATCCAAAATTAATTTCTATCAAGAGTACCCACATCTGATTTTGCTTCTGTTATTTACCTTAGATTATTTAGTAAATACATTCATCGGCTATTCTTAACGCAGCAGTTACAAGTTACTTTTCGAGGGGTCCTGGTAACAAACACTGATACAGATTAAGCAGCAGTGGCATCCGGGCCAGCGAATAGACGAAGCATTTGCCTCGCGCTGTTCACACACATCTACGGCGAAGTTCCAAAGTTACCCACGTCTGTCTGCAATACGTACCATTGCCATTCTCTAACTCTTTATTTCTCTGGGTCCCCAATCGGTCTTTATTCACTGTGCAGCCGCGGTCGCGAATGGACGTGATAGTTGACCGTAGGCGCCATACAATTCACTTTTACCTTCGTTTTGAATTAACGTCAGTGAATCAACTAGAAAGATCGCTACAGAAATAGTGAAAAATCAAGGTAAATTGCTTTTTGAAGCGTGACTGCAATTTTCATTTAAATATCATCTATTTTAAAACGATGCCGCGTTATATGGGTCCAAGTTCTGACATAATTTTAAAATAATGAACGTTTGTATTTAGTTACTCGGATTTTGCAATCTGCTAACGCTAATGCTGTCGCTTTAAGGCATAAACGCGAATTAACATACGAACTGGTTTTAGCTTAATATACAAAGAAATAGGCCATCGGGTAAGTGAAAGTGAATGAGTGCAGGTGGTGAAAAAAAAAAAAGTACAACACAACCAACGTTAGCCGGGGTTTGTGGCCGTACTGCTTTCGGCGTAAACTATTTCGTAATAAAATATTACCGTCATGCATGTGTCGAGAGAAATCATGATTTAACATAATTTTAAAGTTCACAAAAATGTTGCGCCAACCCATCATAAATTTAAGTGTGTTTTTATTTTGGCTTGTCACCAATTGACGGCTAACGTATTCTTAATTTTTAGGTTATATTTAAATACTGTCAGTGAAATGTTTCAAAAATGGACCGTTCTTGGAGTAGTGGTGATTTACCTCGTAACTAGTGCTATTTCCCTGGAAAATGGACTGGCAAGGACGCCACCGATGGGATGGCTAGCTTGGGAGCGTTTCAGGTGTAACACTGACTGCAAAAATGACCCTGACAACTGCATAAGGTATTTTCATTTGTTTATTTTACAGTAATGTCTATTCATCTCGGCAAAAAAATGAGAAAGTCATTTCACAGAACAATAACCTTCACGACGTCGTAATGCGTTATTGTTAGTAAACATTGCGACAAGACGTTTGGAGACACAGTTATGCAGTATAAACTACAGTTTCGTTTTATTGTTTCAGTGAAAATTTGTTTAGAACTATGGCAGATATTCTTGTTAGTGAGGGTTACGCTAACGCGGGATACGAGTACATCAATGTCGATGATTGTTGGTTAGAGAAAGAAAGAAGTATATTTGGAGAACTCGTTCCCGACCGGACCAGATTTCCTAGGGGGATGAAAGCTTTGTCAGATTATGTAAGTCTTTTATTACCATTCCATCTAAATTATCCAATAGTAAAGTGCACCATACATTTTTCAAATAACAAAAACAAAAATATAGCAGTACTTTGAATACGTTCCTTAAGCTGAATAATTTGGCTTGTATAAATTCAATACACCTACTTATGTTTAATATTCAAATCAGGTATGTACAGATATTTTAAAGTGATACTAATTTTAATTTTTACTTCCTTAATTGACATTTTTTTAATATTTCCAACGGTTTTATTTATATTTTTTATTTTGTCTATATACAAACAAACAAATTAATCAGTGGCTTTTTTCGTAATGAATCTTATTTTTACCTAATTAGCCACGAGCTTTAATATGTAGAAAAATATTAAATACATGTAATTCAAATAATCACTCTAAAATATTTCATTGAATATTTTGTTTTTATTGATTTTATTTTGCGAAATTACATACAACAGCAAAACCAAATTTTTTATTTATCATGGGCTCTTTGAAGGAAATGTAATTTAAATTTAAATTGACGTATTATTATTAAATAATTATTTCCTTTTACATCAATGAAAACTCACAAGTAACTAAAACGAACTTTTTATATTTCTAATGATGAGATATTTAATAGTATACCAATTATTATACCTTCATCAGAAATTTAAGTTTGGACATAAGACATAAGCGATTAAAGTAATTAAATGACTGCAAGCAATGAAATAATTTATAACTAATGTTCAACTAATATTTTTTTCTTATACAAAGGACTATATAAAACTGATCTAATTTTCTATCTATGATTTTAGCTTTTGTTTCGACATATCAGTAAAATAATTTATTAAAAACTGGATGAGTGTTAAGTACCTGTTAATGTTCAAGGTCAATTGGTCTGAAATATCTGGTTGTTAAATATTTTCAATGGCATCTAGAAAATGCTTGAGTTTTATTGTCATGATCCATAATTGTTTTATAATTTATTTGATTTACGTTCCAAAATCAAAACACATCTAAAAAAAATCTCATATTTACAGTTTTATCACTCAGGTATTTTAAACAATAAATATTTAAATTACATAATTACGAAATTTAATTTAATTTTTTTTGAATTTAGTTTATTAAATATTTCAATAAATACAGCGAAAATACTTTATAAATATATAAGTCATGGGTAATATGAACGAATATTATGTAAATGTACATACCTAATTAATTAAGTAAAATATTACAAAAATAAAATAATTAGTTTAAAAGGTCAGATCTTGACAAGTTTCCTGAGTGTGATGTGAAATATAAGATAAAAATGTAGAAATTAAAACCGTTTAACAGTTTCGCAATGAACTTTTTTTACATGAGTTAAGTTTATAAATATTTATATGAGCACGCGTGAAGCTTGCGCGAAATCCATTTAAATTACAAAAAGCTTTTTATTTATTTTTTATATTTTTTTCCTCGCGTTGTCCCAATTTTTAGTCGTGTATCAACAAATTGGCATCACTTTCAGTTAAACCGAAACAACTATATCAAATTCCAGCTTCTGTTTCCGCCTACATATGTTTATTAATTTAGGATTGTGTCTCACATAGTAACCGAAATAGTTTCAAAGTAATATATTTATGTATAAATCCAAAATTTTCTTAATTCTGTAATTGTAAATTCACTTTTTGTCTGTTATCTTGTAATGAGTTTGTTTAGCATTGGTAAAAAGTCCCCGGCGATTAATAATCTAGAAATAATAATACAATTCTCTTTTTATTTTAAGTAATTATAAGTAGGTATATTATAAACGAATGATTGATCTGAGAAAAAAAACACGCTTAATTTTTTACAGATTATGATATATGATCATATTACAAACTTACTTATTTCTGACAAACTTTATATATTTTAGATGCATCATTTTAATTATGACTCCAACAACGTACAATATACTCGCAGGTACATATGTACTTATATCATATTTTTAAAATTTTAATACATCTCGTTCGGGGAATATCGATGTATACAAGTTGTTGCAAAAAACACAAATGTTTTTAAAAAACGTGAAACCTGATTAAAAGTATTTAGTAAGAATATAGAATCACAATCTCTAGAGGCAAGTCATAAGATAATCTAAAAGAAAGGTTTGATCGTATTCAAAATATGGGATACAAAAATAAATCGAGAAAGATAACTGTTTTAAATGTGTAAAATGATTTGGTATCAACCTTAATATTTGAGGACATTCAGAATAATTTATTTTTCTATAAATCAACTCTGATCACCAAAACTGAAAATTACACGACCAGCAAATATGACTCGTGCAGTGATTAAATTGTTTCTCGGGCTGTATGACGATATGTGGCACGGTCTTGTTGAAACCACGTCATCTGCGTCCATATCTTGCAATGTAGGCACAGAAAACTGGATTATCAAGTCCTTATAGCACTATTAACCGTTATAACCAGCAGTATTTCCAAAGAAGAATGGTCCGACAATAACCTTTAGCCCAAAATCCGCACCAAACAATGACGCGTTGTGGATAAATCTGTTTCTCAACAATCACTCGTGGATTTTCTGAACCCCAAATGCGTCAATATTGTCGATGAAGCCATCAAGATCAAAAAGAGACTGATCGCTGAAGATGATTTTATTCGAAAAATCAACATAACTCTCCTTGAATGCTTAGTTAAAGAGTCTATTGGTTCACAAAACATAGCCAAAATTAAATTTAGTGCAAATTCCTGGATCACCGTGTATATTCACAGATTTAGACCTAGGTGGCCTACGTTACTGCACTGTGCCATTACAATTCGTCGCGAGATACCCTGTAATGACGAATTTCATGCTGCATTTTTACAACTACTGCGATCCATTCATAAAAAGTTTGAATGTATCAATCAAAAACGAACTTAGAAATGCAAATAGATACATCGTATTACTAATACCATTATTATGTAAAATAATTATTCTCTCGCTTCACGGTTGGAACTAATCGCGTTTTGCCGCATCGTTACCAACACTTCTTGCAATTATTATCAGAATCTTGCACAATTATACACATATAAATTATAATAACTCTTAACGAGCTGGTTGATAATTTTAAAATTGTGTTTAAATGCTCCTAACGGAAGTGCTACTTATTAATCCTGTATTAGGAAATCACTAACATTTCATAATTATTATTTATTGGATGTAAGGATATAATAAAGTCGGTAAAACTATTTCATATGTAGAAGTTAACTAGCATCATGAAATTTACGACGAGAAATAGAGATGTTGTCAAGAAACAACGTAGCAAGTGCTTCCTTCTAATTATACAGGCTGTTTATTTATAAGATAAGTGTTTTCTTTCAAAATGGTAATAAAGGACGTGAAAATAAACAATTTTCATTAAGCAATATGTGACACAAATCACACTGTGTCACGCATTCCAGAAAATTGATACAAAATTATTATGCGAAACTTAGGCTGACCCTGCATCGTCCCACTTAATCGACTGTTTACAGTGCCATAACTAAGTCTTGTTTACTAATGTCGGCTGGAGATTGATTTACGTTTAATTTCAAATCTAGAATTAGCGGATATGATATTAATATACGAAGAGTGCGAACATAATTTAAACATGACAACTATCTTCAAATTAATTCACATACTGAAGTACACGTACAAACAACAAAACTGGATTAATACAAACCATCGATTAGACGGTGAAAAGAAAAAATATGTTAGCTTCATAGTATAGTCTTTCTGGAGTCAGTTGAACATGCAAAAGAACGCATGGCAATAAAATTTAATGACTTTCATAGGCGTCCCTAAAAAGGTTTTCTGCTAAAGGTAAAAAATTATAATAATTTGTATATAATGTGTAGAAAATTTCTATTATATGTTCATTTGGCCAACAACATATTTTAATTATTTATGTCCTCAAACAATTTTATTATATTGATGGTAAATTTCGTTTTGTTCCGTTTCAAAAGGTCTCCAAAATGCCATATTGTAATAATATTGTTTCGCAATTATATATGTATAAGGTTCCTATAAAAAATTAAGATTACCTAAATCACAACAAATTCCGCATTGCTGCACTGCACTGTTGGGCAATTTGTCAACCACTTGTCAAAACCTGAGATTTATTGCCCAGTCGCCCAATGCAGTTATGTTAGATTTCGTTTAAACGCGCTCGCATTCTTTAACTGGGTGTATACATTTCTGCTACCTCCACGTGTAGTGTGACCTGTATATGGGTATGGTTTAATAGATATGGGAACAAGTTTTTCAAATATTTTAGTGTCGAGTTGCTGCGTCAGCGACCGAACCTGGTACATACCGTCAACGTCTTAGTTCTTCAACTGATATCGGAAAGACTATACCTACTCTTAATAAGCGCATCTTCAAAAATCATGTACCTAAATTTCTATAAAAACAGGTACTTGATAATTATGTAATTTCCTTATATTTAACCCATCTGATTTTGAAGATTTTAATTGTTTATTTTTTTTTGTAAAACATTATTCGTTCAATGCATACTGTAGAACTTTCAACAAATATACATTTCACGCGCTCGTGATTTTCGCAACTATTTAGCATTCGTATTTTCCCATAAATTATATCACTAATTCTCGTTACATTTACTATATCACTCCTTTTCATACATACAAGGTGTTTCATAACTCTACCGACACAGAGCAGACACATGTAGAGGATCTTAAAATATGCCGATTTGTTATGAAACAATATTTTATGGGATGCACCGTTGAAGAAATATTGGCCTCTGAAGATGTGTGTAAAATTTTGAAAAACAATAATATTTCTGCAATGCCTTAAGATAAAGTAACCAAATTTGGTACATGATTTGCGTTTATTGTTATCGTTAATTGGTACAAATATAAATTTGTTGGAAGCCCAATAAGGGCGCTCTTAAATTGATATCGGTTTTTTATCAGTATGTCAATTATTAAATAGTTTTACCAGTATTATAGAAAATTTAATTTTACATTTTTTTTTAATTTTATAAATTTTTAGAAAAAATAACGAAA